CCCCCGTTTCCCACTACTGCCACTGCTTTCTCATGGCATCGGATGGATTTGGAGTCCCTCGTGCTCAGTGGTTTTTCGCAGGAAAAAAGGCCAAACTTCCAAATGTTCTCACTCGCGCCGTTTGATTTTTAACAGCAGATCATTAGGGTGCATTGTCATAGGAGTTGGCAGGTTAGAGTAGGAGAATGGCAGGGCTGCAAGAAAATTCAGAAATCTGTGGAAAGTCCCCCAGAGGCCACCCCAACTTCAGTGCTGCTAGAAGGTTCCAGAAGAAGAAGAAGAAGAAGAGACACTCAACATGCCTGCTGGAGCTTATAGCTTACTCGGGATGTTGGTGACTGAGCGTCTACTACCAGACGGAGCACACCTGGGGAGTACCCGGGGCAGGTGCTGTTCTGGCCATTTTTTCCTAAGGCATGTTACAGTACATAGTAATAAACTAAATTGTATATGAGCATTATTTTCTTAAAGTTGCTCACGTGGTAGCCTTTGTTTCCTATTAACATGTGAGTTTAGTGAGGGCGGATATACAGTGCTTATTTCATTCAGAGGCTTTTTCGGTGCTTGCTAAATTGTTCATAGCAGGTTACCAGATATTTTTAAATCAATGGGTGAATCTATGATTCACAGGGACTCATAAGAAGTATACTGATAAGTTAGCACACAGTGTTGAGGGTGACTTTCTTCAAAAAATTAGTGACTTCTTTGTTAGCCAACTTGTTGTTCTATTTTACTATGTTAAAAAAAATACTTGCCTATATAACCTCAAATTTAAATGTAAAATTGTGGCCGTTTGTGGTGGCTCATGCCTGTAACCCCAGAACTTTGGGAGGCAGAGGTAAGAGGATTACCTGAGTTCAAGTGTTTGAGACCAGCAACATGGCATGACCTCATCTCTACAATAAATCAAAAAATCAGCCGGGCATGGTGGCACATGCCTATGGTTCCCGCTACTTGGAAGGTTGAGGTGGAAGGATCGACTGAGCCCAGTTGGTCGAGGTTGCGATGGCCATGAGCATGCCACTGCACTCCAGCCTGGGTGACAGAGTGAGACTCCAACTCAAAAAAATAAAAAATATATAAAATATAAAATTGTAGTATTGGTGTGATTTTCTTATTTTTATTTTTTTAGTTGGAGTCTCACTCTGTCGCCCAGGCTGGAGTGCAGTGGTATGCTCATGGCCACTGCAGCCTTGACCTGCTGGACTCAGATGATCCTATCGCCTTAGCCTTCCAGGTTGGGACTACAGGCGTGCGCCACCACACCCAGCTAATTTTTTGATTTATTGTAGGGATGAGGTCTTGCCAAGTTGTCCAGGCTGGTCTGGAACCCATGAGCTCAGGCAATCCTCTCACCTCGGCCTCCCAAAGTGCTGGGATTATAGGTGTGAACCACAGCACCCAACCCTGATTTTTAAATTATGTGAAAGTAGCAAACAATTTATGGCAGAATCAGTCCTAAAATATAGTTGTCCAAAATATGAAATGTTTTGCCAATCTTTGATTATTATCTCTACTTCTAGGCACAAGCAAAACAAATATTTATGGTCTTCAGAGACCAGTTGCTTCTGTCTATATACTTCATTCCTGAATTTGAACTTTAATTTTATATTAAAAGTTTCACACCTTTGAATATATACCTCTTGAATAAAAACATTAACATCTTCAATTCCATGTTCTTACTTATTTGGAGGAAAACAAAGATGTATATAATGAATAGTGTTATTCTATCTTTTGATCCTCTTTGATTATATGTGACATGGTTTATTTCCTATGTTGATTTACATAAGATAGATTTCCTTAAAGAAAAATTATTTTCCTCAGTGGTTATGATATTAAATTTAGAGCTAAGCTAACATTTTACAAATGTTCCCCTATCGATATGATAGACAATTACTGTAACTTTCTGCCTTGTGCAACAAGTAGTCAAGAACATGCCTCACCTCTACTGTTAGATTCTAGAGTCATAAAGGACAGAAATCATAAAATATTAATCAAAGCAGGATTTGGGACAGAGTTAAAACTGTATGCATCAGCTGAAGAAAATAAGCACTTTTTCCTCTTGTCTTCAACTCAAATCTGAAGTTGATGCCGATGAATACATAATCTGTAAGCTTTGTATCTGCTTTGGTAGCATTTTACTCTTCAAGAAGTGTTAGAAAAAGACGGTGATTCATTATGCATGATTGCCAAGTGAGAGGTTGAGTGTGGAAGCATTTTTCCAGGAACGCCTTTGCACATCTAGCAGGCAGCACTTACTCATGATTATATGTACGCTCAGACAAGACCACAGTTTGCACCTTGATTGTCACTCACTGTGAAATTATTATTCAAGTAAGACAAGGAGCTTCTTTTGGCATGATGCATGCTTCCAGAGTTTGTGACATGAAATTTGGAGTCTGATGTTTTTTTGGGGGAAAGCTCTTTCTTCCACTTACCTAAAAACTTTCCCAGTATAAGGGATTTGACAGCGTTGAATTCTGTCCCCGAGGACAAGATGACTTGTTTCCTTGTACTCTGATTGACCTATTAGATGCCCCATGAGAAGCAAAAATCAACAGGAAATGTAATTTTAAAGATAAGGAAGCAAAAGGAGACCAGGAAAAACAAAACAAAAAACCCCCAACAAATCACTTGTAAGTACCAGTACAAAGGTTCAAGAAAACTATCTTCAAACAACCATTTAGAAGAGAAAGCTATTTCATAAGCAATTCCTATGATACCATCAGCTACCACTCAATCCACTATCTAGTCCTTTTCCGGTTCCACTTTTCTTCATAATGGAAGGGTCTGCAATTGGCAGAATCCACAAATAAGATGGAATCATCTGTTTTAAACTTAAAGACTTACTTATTCTGTGGAGAACACTTGAGACATAAAGCCAAGAATTCTTGTTCTATGTACAGATTTAAAGTATATTTTCCTTCAAATGCCAGTGATGATGTATAATTTACTTACTCTGTTCTGATCCAGGTCTATTTGCTTATTCACCCTTTAATGAATATCTTGTGTATTTCTAAATTTTGTGTCTGAATTGCTGTGGTATCTGTTCTTTTACAATCAGAATAATATCAGTTAACATAATCCACCAATAGTCACCATAATAAACTAGGCAACATTTCCCTACTGAGTCAGTAAAACAAGTAAGAACATTTTGATATTTTGAACAATAAAAAATCAATAATTTTGACAGAATTACATTGCTAAACAAACAAAAGTAAGATAAACAAACACTTCCCCCTTCTCCAATCCTGGCTATATTTGACTTCCTATCCTTGACTTTACAGAAAAGCAATACTAGGTTGATTGCTATTTTGCTAATATTTATTATCAAGTTTTTGCAATAGGTTATTCATTTTCAGAATTTTACAATTAGTTATTTTGACTTCTGCGTTTGCTGCATTACCTCTACTACGACCACTCCTTCTTCTCTGTTGATTTTCACTTGGTGGAGGTGCCCATCAGCCATGTTTTTGAAATCAAAGTTAAATGCATCAGGATCTTGATGTTGGTCTAGCTTGTACCTAATCTGCAAACTTCCTAAAGAGAAACATAAGTGACATTTAAAATTAAAATGGCATTTTATAAAACTCTTACTGCAGATTCTACAGCACTCATTATTATTTATTTAAGGCACTTTTGAATCTACTTAGCATCAATTGGGATTCACCCAATAGTCATCCTTCCTGGAATCATGATTACTTAGCTGACATTACAGTGACAGATTCTGAGTCCAATTATACTGTTTCAAAAGTCAAGACCAAATGCACTGATAACAAGCTGTACCCCAAATCTTTCTTAAATGAAAAGGTTTCAATTATACATATGAAATCTATGAACTGATATCTAAATTCATTATGACTATGATATTTACTTTATAAAATGATAAAACTCCATGCAATATTGTATCAACATTTGGTTATATTCTTTTAATAAGACTTATTTCAATGTATTACTGACTTGCATAATTAAAAAACTTTTTTACAGTCAGAATGTTTTAAAAAGTCTTCTGTTATAGTCAAAAAATGAGGAAGAGAAAAGGTTTTATCAGGATTCAAGGTTTTCATAGTATCCATAACTTCTAACACACACACTGATCTCCTATATGGATGCAGCCGTGTTACCCATGGCTCCCTTACAGTTTTTGCCAAGACCCTGTTAGTCAGAGATTTTGTAGATTTTTCTAGAAATTGAATTGTTTTTGTGTTGACTCACTACCTAACAAACATGAAACTTGGCCTTCTTGTTCAACTGTAAGAAACTGAGAATGCCCCAGTTGACACTGGTTGAGAGATTGTCACTTCACTTTTCTTCTTATATAAAACTGATATAACTGGGTTTTCAATCACTGTTGAGTTAAAAACCAGTTGTATTTCTTTCTTGTGGAAATTGGCTTTATATAGTTTTACTGTAACATCCACATTACTGCTTCCCTACTTTGCTTGGAATGAACAGGGAACATAAGTCACACATCTAGATATCTTATTTCAAAAGACACTGCAAACGCGATTTAGCTCATCATGTAGTATTAAAGACATTCCATCAATAGTAAGAAGTATAATTTTGTATCCAACTTGTAAAATTACCAAACTTGTAATCGGAGAAAAGCATCTTAATCTTGAAATGCTAGCTTTTACAGGAACCATTAACGGATACTGTATGGAAAACCAAAGGTGTTGGAGGGTATGGCATTTTCTTTCATTGTTTGTGGTGTAAATACTGGAAAAGCCCATGTCATTGCAGTCTTATTTTTCTAATTGAGAATTGTTTTTCTTTACACAAAGGATATTCACCATTGTTGGCGAGGAAAACGGAAAGGTATTCCTCATAGAAATAGCTCACATACAGCAATAAACTTGGAGTTCGTGTGGTTCGAAAGCTCAATGTGATCATTTCTCTGGTCAATGTTACATCCCTATGTAACGAAGAAGCCAGGGAACTGGAGTTTTCACTTAAAGTGTAATATTCTTGAAAATTATAGGTCATTGAGGAGCCAGTTTCAAAATACGCAGAAATCTCTGTAATGACAAATACAATTTTGTTATGTTGACAAAATGTTAAATCCAAGGGTCTTTTAGGGATATTTAAATAATGAATCTAATCCTTACATATCCTGGGAGATCAAATAATAGTAAAATGCTTTCCTGTTTGTTTTGATATTTTTTACTTTTTAAAGAAAAAAGTAACAAGTCCTGACATCAACCCAAACTGAATATCATTTAACATAGATTTTACTTCTCCAATGTATCTTCATTTTAGATTTACATATGATTAATCCTTCAATATAAATGTATAATTTAAAGATATCTGTTTTCAGCGTTGGGATCCAATTATTTCCCAAAAGGTTAATTTTTTAAGCATTCTTATTAATAGACGATCCATATGCTATACAATGGACCCAACTGTAATGGAAAATTCTATGTCTTATGCAACCAATGCCACAATCCATTTTAGAATATTCTCATCTCGTCCCCACCCTCTCATCTCCCAGACAAAATCTCTCCATATCTATTAGCAATCACTCTCTGTTTCTTGCCAGTATCTCAGCCTACTTAACCACGAACCTATATTCGATCTCTACAGATGCTCCTGTTGTGGAAATTTTCTATCAGTGGAATCATATAATACGTGGTCTTTTGTGACTGGATTCTTTGACTCAGCACGCTGCTTTCAAGGTTCATCCATGCTATAGCACGTGTCAGGATTTTATTCCCTTTTTATTGACAAATATTATTCCATTGTAGGGATATGCCACATCTTGTTGTTCCATTCAACAGTTGATGGATGTTTGGGTTGTTTCTACTTTTTGGCTGTTATGAATAATGCTGCTGCAAACATTCATACATAAATTTTTCTGTGGACACATATTCTCATTTCTCTTAGATTATACACCCAGGAATGGAATTACTCAGTTTGATAATAACTCCATCCTTGGCATTTTGAGAAACTCTCCATTTTTCCCCCAAAATAGCTGCACCATTTTATATTCCTGACGGGAATTATGAAGGTTTGCAATATCCCCACATTCTCACCAACATTTATCGTTGTCTTTCTTTGAAATTACAGCTCTCCTTGTGGATATGAAGGAGTATCTCCTTGCAGCTTTGATTTGCATTTCTCTACCAGCTACTGTTTTGCCCACTATCTCTTCACATGTTTACTGGCCATTCAGATACATTTGCTGAAGAAATATCTACTTATAAGTCTTGCTCATTATTTACTTGGGCTATGTATCTTTTTGTTATTTAGTTACAACAGCTCTTTACATAATTTGGGTACTAGAGCACATAAGATACCATAATTTCCAAACATTTTCTTTCATTCTTTGGGTTGTCTTTTCACTTTCTTGATGGAATCCTTTGAATCACAAATGTTTTTAATTTTGATGACGTCTAATCTATATATTTTCTTTTTTCTCCCACGTTTTACTCTTGTTAAATTCATTGACCATAAATGTGAGAGTATATACCTATATTCTCAGTTCTATTCCACTAATATAATATATATGACCAGTCTTAGGCAGTTACATACCACTTTGTTTATTGTAGCACTATAGAAAGCTTTGAAATTGGAAAATATGAAAACACTAAATTTGTTCTTTTTCAAAATTACTTTGGCTATTCTGGGTTCCCTGAATTTCCATATGAATTTTAGGATCAACTTGTCAATTTCAGGAAAGCAGTCAGCTGAGATTTTGATAGCAATTGTACTGAATCTATAGATCAATTTAGAGAACATTGGTATATTTTTATATTAATTATTTCAACCCATAATATGGGATATCTTTCTATTTATTTATCTTTCATTTCATTCAAAAACATTTTGTAGTTTTCAGCGCCTTTCACTTATTTTGTTAGATGTATTTCTACATATTTTATACTCTCTGATACTATTGTAAATGAACCTGTTTTATTAATTTTTTTTTTTTTTTTTGAGTTGGAGTCTCACTCTGTCACTCAGACTGGAGTGCAGTGGCTGCTCCTGGCCACCGTAGCCTCGACCTGCTGGGCTCCGGCGATCCTTCCGCCTCAGCCTTCCGAGTAGCTGGAACTACAGGCATGCGCTACCATGCCTGACTAATTATTTGATTTATTGTAGAGATGAGGTCTTGCCAAGTTGTCCAGGCGGGTCTCGAACCCGTGGGCTCAGGCAATCCACTCACCTCAGCCTCCCGAAGGTGCGGGATTACAGGCTGAGCCACTGAGCCCGGCTTGTTTTATTAATTTTATTTTCAGATGATTCATAGCTAGTGTATAGACATACAGTTGATTTTGTGTATTGAGCTTGTATCTTTCAGTCTTGCTTAACTTACTTTTAGTAAATTCCTTAGGATTTTCTATATAAGAAAGATCATGTAATCTACAAAAGAGATAGTTTTACTTCTTCTTTGCTAATCTGGAAATTGGCTTAGTTGAAATCTCCAGTACAATGTTGAATAGATGTTTTATGAGTATGCATCCTTGCCTTGTTCTAATCTTAGAGGAAGACTGTTTAGTCTTTTACAATTAAGTATGCTTTTAGATGTGAGTTTTTCATACATGCTATTTATTCAAATAAGAAAGTTCTCTTCTATTACTAGTGTCTTGAATTTTTTAAAAAATCATGAATGAGTGTTGGATTTTGCCAAATGACTTTTCTGCATCATTTGAGATGATCATGTTTTTTTTCTTTATTCTATTGATATAGTGTATTCTATTAATTGACTTTCAGTTGTTAAACCAACTGTACTTTTGAGATAATTTTCACTTTTTGGTATATAATAATTTTTATATGTGACTGGATTTGGCTTGGTAGCATTTTGTTGAGAGTTTTTGCATCTATTTACTAAGTGATATTAGTCTATATTTGCCACATTTATTCACATATATATTTTTACACACACACACACACACACACACACACACACACACACACACACAGGGAAACACGGGTCTTATACAATAAATTAGAAAATGTTTCTTTTTAAATTTGTTTTTGAAGCATTTTGAAGATTTAATGTGACTTTTTATTTAAAGATTTGATAGAGTCACCAGTGAAACTACCTGGTCCTGGGCTTTAATTTGTGTGATGCTTTAAAATTACTAAGACATTATTTTCATTGTTATAGGTCTATTTAGATTTTCCTTTTCTTCTTGAGTCAACTTTGGTAGTTTATGTCATTCTAGAAATTTATCAGTTTCTTCTAAGTTATGCAAATTTTGACATACAGTTGTTCATATTATTCCCTTGCAATCTATATTATTATTTTTTTTAAGATTGGTAGTAATGCCCCTTTCTCATATGTTATCCTAGTAATTTGAATCTTTCTTGGTCAGTGTCACTAAAAATTTTCAGTTTTGTTAATAGAAAAGGGATCCAAAAGATACTGAAATTTATTTACAAAAAATTGTATATATATTCTTACATGTTAAAACGTCAGTTACTTTCAAAGTACTCTCTGTTTGATGCAAAGCACCTATTAAGATGACACTTTTCCCACTACTCAAAACAGTTTTTAAACTTCTCAATTTTTGATGTCTTTTAGTACTTCTGCTGTTTTTTATTTCACCTCTTCTACATAGGCAAAACATTTCCCTTTGAGGTCTTTTATCATGGGGGGGGGGTGGAAATGTCCCTTGGGGCAAGATCAGGTGACTAGGGAAGGTGGGGCATGGAGGTCATGCTGTTTTTGGTCAAAAACTGATGCCCACAGCGTGGTCAAGTGCATTGTCATGGTGGAAGAACCAGTAACCTGTTTGCCACAACTCAAGTCATTTCTTCTGCAAATTGTGATGCAACCTTTCCCAAACTTCCAGATAAAAACTTTGGTTGCCCATTTGATCCAGAGGAACAAATTCTGAGTGCACAATCCCTCTCATATCAAAGAAGCAAACGATCATTGTTCTCGCATTTGACTTCACTTGCCATGCTCTTTTGAATCATGGGGAAGGGGCAGTTTTCCACTGGCTAGATTGCTGTTTCATTTTGGGTTGTATCAGTAGCCACAATATTCACCCCAATTATGACTTTGAACAAAAAAATCAGGTTTAGTCTCCAACTGCTCTTTCAAAGCCACAGCACATAGCTGAGCAATTGTCTTTGTTCAGGCGTAAGCAGGCAGGGCATGAGTTTTGGTGAAACTCATTTCATGTCCAAATTTTCAAATGAAATTAGCTGACAGAACTCCACAACACCCCAGTCAACTCCACGAGTTCATCAATACTCTGACTGCGATTTTCCAAGATGCTTGACGAATTCTTATCATTTTTTTTAGTTCGGCTGGTCAAAGGATGCCCAGAATAAAGTTGAACCCCAGTCAGCATTTTGCCTCTTTTAAAATGGGAAAACCATTCCTAAAATTGTGTTTTACCCAGAGCAGCATCTTTGTAGGCTGTTGTAGCATGACAACTGTTGCCACCACAATTTTCCTCAACAGAAAACAAAATTTCACTGCCACACATAGTTCATGTAAATCACCCATCATGAAATGGACAAACACATTGAAGGGGTTTTCAAAGAATAATTCACTGAAGCTGAAGGCAGCCTCTCACAACAATGTTAGCTGGTACACTGATACCAATGGTTTCCTAGAACATTTAACTAGCGGGAGAAGCTTTGGGGGGTGCAAATAGTTTTTGGTTACATGGATGCATCGTATCGTGGCAGGGAAGTCTGGGTTTTAAGTGTACTCACCACCCCCATCTGTGCATATTTTACCCAATAGGTGATTTTTACTTTCTCCACCTATTCCCCTGCTCCCCCCTCTGATTTTTCAATGTCCATTATTTCATTCTCTATGTTTTTGCAGATCCTTAGTTTTACTCCCACGTGTGAGAAAATGCATTTGGTTTTCTGTTTCTGCTGGCCATTTATTCTCTCAGTTCTATTGGGTAATCTTTATATCTTTGGACCATATTACTAACTGCTTATGGCTTTTGAAAGAATTACATCTTTTTGATGGATTACCCTTTTATCATTATAAAAAGTCTTCTATTTGTAGTAGAACTTTTTGTTTTAAAGTGTATTTTACTTCCTGATG